AAAGTGTCTGTCGACAGCACCGGGCGATCACTGGATTTATAAATATTTTAACACAAATACCGCATTTTAGGTCTTGTCTGTCCGATTCAGATAACCCCACAAACCGATTGTAATCATAGCCAGGCATCAGATCTTTACAATTAATATTTATATAATATTTATCATTTTAATTACATTTAGCATTTAGGTTTGATTTAAATATGTTCAAGCTTTAAGAGCTAACTTGTAAGCTATACAGTAGTGTGCTAATTTAATAGACTATAGTAGATGTAGTATACATAAATATTTCATTAATGTTATATATAATTGAAATGTATATAAGTATAATGTTACTAGCATTTTCTTTGATTATATGCAATGTCGTTGGTAATGTTCCTGATCCTGGTAAACAAAATAACGATACACTAAAGCTATCAGAAATTAACGGATGTGATTATATAAAAAAACCCAAAATAAAAAACCCACAGAAATAAAACCAACAAATTAAAAACCAACTGGTAATAAATCCACAAATTAAAAATCCACATTTAAAAAAGCCCACACTTTTAAAATATATTATGCCTTATCAAGCTCAATTTACCTAGATTAATTTGTTAGCAATAGCAGAAAATATGATTTTAAAAATAACAGCTAAATAGTATATTTAAAAAGTAATATTTTGTTACAAAATTTTTATACAAATCTGCTATGAGTTTTATTAGTAGTGTAAGGTTAAAATAATTATAATAATAATGAAATAAATAATTACAATAATATTTGTCAACAATAATTGATGATATATTAGTTTCAAATAATTGTTTGCATTGAAATTACTTGAGAACTGAGGTATGGCCATACTACTATTAGTATTAATATTTAAGATTTAAAGTTTAGAATTTTTATTATTAGCTTGGTGCGATCCAGTTGACTTCATATTATTTTCATTAACTGGCTCAATTAAATTGCCATTCAGTAAATTGATGATTGAGTTTGCTATAACTTGTGCATTGGACCTTTGATAACCACCGCTATATTTGAAAATTATTATTTAAAAACATTAACATTTTACAAATAGTTACAATATTTACTATAAAAATCTTACCTTGTTAACATAACAATAGGTATACCATAAGTTTTTGCAAAATTAAACACTACTCGATCCCTTTCAAAAAGTCCTTGCTCAGTTATATTAAGACCACCCAAAGGGTCACCATTTAATATATCTGACCCGGCATTATATATAATTAAGCTTGTAGAAAATTCTTTTAATGCTTTACCAATCGATCTAGATTAAAGAATATAATTAATTTAAGTTGAATTATTTTAAATAACCCTACTCATTTATGTGCTTGAGGTACTCATCATCACTCGTATTTGGCAATAATTCCACCTTGGTATTAATAAAATCTTTAGCAATCTTGTCCATGGGATAAATATCCTTATTATAAACATCAAGAACATACACCTTTTTCTTTTGTCGTAATGACATTATAAATTTATCTAGCTCATAGCCATTTCCTACACAAATAAATAATATAATTAAAAATGTGATATGAAAATTTGTAAATGACATGTAATATGTCAATTTTAAAACTAATAATTAATTTACCTTGGTGAGCATCCAAATCTATTATCATAAAATTAAGATCCTCATCTACGTACTTCCACAAATATTGAATGATCAAGGTGATATCGGCAAAAAAGCAGAATCCCTGTGCCCGACCATTAGAGGCGTGATGGAAACCCCCGCCCAGGTTTATGGCCCACCCGTACTTCAACGCCATGTGCGCCGCCAATACAGTGCCCGATGTATGCCATTTGAATGGATTTACCAGAGCCGACCGTAGAAGTGAGCTTGGTACAACACGTAGCATATAGACTTCAGCAGCTTGAGCTATCATGTTTGATTTGCAATGAATGTCGTTTATAAATTGTCCAGTGTGAGCTAGTTGCAATTCTGCGCTAGTTACTTCATGTAATGGAGATATTGTGGTAAATTTGGAACCTTGGTTCTGTGCATAAAATTTTGTCATTTTTAGATTGCTTAGGGTTATTTAATTTAAATAAATAAAAATTTATATTTTATTTCATATTATCAAGTAAGTGTTTTTAAAAAATACACCATAACATGGAACTCCCAATAAACTATTTTTGAATTTAATGAATATTATAAAAGTATCATAATATTAAGGATACAGTTGTTATGACAAATTAGATATCATAATAATGATATCTATTTATATAATATTTATTTAATAATTATATATAATATTTTAAAATGCTTAATTTTTATATTATATAATTGTTTATAATATATTATATTAGTATATTAATTTATATGGATATGTATACAGGTACTTGTAAAATTATATTAAATACTGTATAATAAAATTATATTTAATAAAACTAATGTTATTTGTAATTCAAAACCCATATCAAATTATGATTCAAATTATTGAATACTTACTTTAAAATGTTGATTTAAAATCCGGTAAATATGTCCCCACTTTTGTGTATCAAAATTGTGTAATTTTTCAAAACCATAGAATTTTATGTCATAGTTGTTATTATAGACTATTGGATAAACAAGCTCATTTGCAATTCCGGTATCTGACCCACTCGGTACTTTGACATAATTAAATAAATCGCCAGGTTTTATATCATCATCGTTACTGCCGATATTTTTGTCGCTTGAATATGAAATTTAAAATATTAGACTAGGTCATTTTTGTATTTGACATTTGGCTTTTGTCCTATACTCACATTTGTTGGTTACGTTTTTTATAAAACGCAAAACTGGCCATGACGCACCCTACAGCAGCCATATAAACATACTTGTTACATTTAAGCATGTTTGAATACTCAGTAATTTGATTGAAATACGACTTATTCATTTAGAATACTGTATTTACAATTATTAATTATTAACCATAGACTTGAATTTTTATTACAAAAATATAAAGTATCTAATAAATGAGCACGTATATCAAACTTTCAACATCGACTTACACTTTAAAAATCACGTATACCATTGTTTTTACATAAACCCGTATTAGCAATCACAATAACAAATACAAAACATAATATAACACTATAATATACTAACTAATCACTAAATATATTATATTATATTATTATACTGGTATCATGTCAGTTATTTTGCAATAGTAGTGGTTGTTTTTCATTGAAATTCAAAATATTATCTAATCAAATGTATTATAAACCTTTTATGTATTATATTATGTCAACAGTTGCAAAAGGATTTGTAAACTTGCTAACATTATGTCGCAAAAATAATGCATAAATCTATACTGTACATGTTATTTAGAAAAATGTAACACGAATTATACTCAAATAATTCCTAATAAGGGTATAGTAAAAACAAAAAGGTTGTCTAGACAATGTAATAAATTTCATTATAAATATTAGAATATTTCAATATAGAAAATATATAATTAGGTAGTCATGAAAATATCATTCATCAAACATATTCATCAGATATTTTTGATATAATCGCGCAGATAAACTACCTATAAATGTGGCGTACCAACTAATATTATATGTTGCTCAAATAAATGGTCCTATATTTAGTGTGTTGCTAACACCTATCCCTAGTCTAATTAGTAATTTGCTAGCCTACGCATAGCCAATGTCGGGACCTTGCTACATCTATTTTTGGGAGCCAGACAAACATGGTGTCGGTCACTGCTCTCTTATGCTAAACGACGAGCTTTACATTAGTTTCTGGCCTAAGGAGGACTACGGGGCGGCCGAGTACCTGAATCGGATACATCGTTAGGTGTCAGTAAATTTTACAAAAGTAATCTGTATTAACACAAACTATATTACCATATTGATCATTTAAAGTGATCAAATTTGGCCAATATCACCAACTAATCCAGTTATTTAATTATAATCAATGGGTAGCATTCACATTTTGTACATTAAATAACATTATTCCTATGGACGACACTTTCCATACCAACTAAATATTAACATGATACATTTTAATTACTAAAATTTGCTAGGTCTTAAAACTTTAAAACTAAATAAACCAGAATAAAATTTTTAAATAAAATTTCAAATTATCTATGTACAATAATATGTATGATGAGTCTGTTATGTGTGAAATAAGCCTTTTAAAATACTTGATTCGCCAAGTTTAGTCAATTCAAAATGTTAATTGTGTTACTGGCTAACTAATCATAACAATTAAAACCACTCAATCGAGATTTGTGCCTCGATGTTCCCTACTAAAAGTGATCTTGAGAAGCATTATACCAAGTGCACTTTGTTTGATTTCCTAGTTGATTAATATATTTATTCTTAACAACAATTATAATGTTTACTTTTATTAAAACTTTGAAGATTATAAAAACTTTAATATTTTAATTCTCTTTAATGTTAACACAATTTTAATGTATTATAATTGATTTATATTTAATAAATTTAATCTTAATTAATTGTTGAGTTATTTATTGAAACATTTTTATGCTTGAACATTTTTTTAATAATATTTATTTTATCGTCGTAATTGCACCGTATCTGTATCATCCAGGCTATCTGTACTATCTGTACTGTCGGTACTGTCGGTACTTGAATCATGATCTGCATTTGAATCCTGACTGACAACTGCAATACGCTTAGCCCTGTCCACTACCTCGCTCACTTTAGTAAACATCTCACTGTATCTATTAAACGCATCAAAGGCTGCCATTAAATTGTCAGATTTTCTATTATTCATTGAATTTCTATCATGTTCATTTTGATCATTATTATCAAGATCATCCCAGATAAATGCGCTACTTCTATGATCCACTGAAATTATCAAGATTACGTTATTCAAGTTTAAGTTTATTATAATATTAATTTATATTTGCAAGGTTAAGTTTGTTTTAAAACTTACCTTGACTATTGTATACTTTATGCACAGAATTGAATGTGCTTGGTTCTGGTAAATATTCTATATTGTTAAATGTTAGGTATGATGTCCAAAATTCTGTTAAATAATTAAAACAATTTAACCATGCTTAATATATTCTAATAATAAAGTAATCACCTTCCCTAGAAATATCAGTTTGCAAACAATCATTCATAAAATATTTATAGTAGCATGAACAATTATGCGTTACCAACTCTGCCAGTGGAGTAATAATTGGACAACCTTGGTCATGGTAATCGCATTTAATAATTAGTTTACCAAGTATACTTTCCAATAATCTGGGTTTTCATATATAATTAATAGATAATTTTATATATAATTTTAATATTCATATATAATTTAAAGTTGACTCACCTTGGTGGCTCTTGCAAATCATCAACATTTAAAATTAATTTACCACAAGTGTCACCATGCTGCTTTAATGATATTGTAATACAATCGGAGCAAAATGTCTGTCGACAGCACCGGGCGATCACTGGATTCATAAATATTTTCATACATATACTGCATGTAAGGTCCTGTTTGTCAGAATCTGTTAACCATACAAACCGATCGTAATTATGCCCGGGCATATTTTAATAAAATTTTTAAAAGTAATTAATTAATACTAATAATTAAATAATTAATCGTAAATTATTTATTACATCTAATACAGTTTAATACAAAATATAATGATATTACAGATAATCGTTATACCCACTCAACTTTCAATAGTTTTTAATGCTTTTTATCATTATTTATTGATTGTTACCATGATGCAATTAAAACGATATAAATATTTACTTAATCTATATATATAATAAAAGGTTATTTTTATAAATAAATGTAAATACAAGTAGATTTTCCACTAATATTTGATAAGTTTGTTTGGTATATTTATATATAAATTTTTTATTAATTGCATTTTAAATGCATAATACCATTGTTGTTTAATCAATTGTATAAAATTTCTAATAGATTATAAATTATTTTTATAGATACTAATTACCATATATAATTTAAATTATACTCACCTTGGTGGTTCTTGTAAATCATCAACATTTTGAATTAGTTTATCACAATGTGTTTCACTATGTTGCTTTAATGATATTGTAATACAATCGGAAAAAGTGTCTGTCGACAGCACCGGGCGATCACTGGATTTATAAATATTTTAACACAAATACCGCATTTTAGGTCTTGTCTGTCCGATTCAGATAACCCCACAAACCGATTGTAATCATAGCCAGGCATCAGATCTTTACAATTAATATTTATATAATATTTATCATTTTAATTACATTTAGCATTTAGGTTTGATTTAAATATGTTCAAGCTTTAAGAGCTAACTTGTAAGCTATACAGTAGTGATAATTTAATAGACTATAGTAGATGTAGTATACATAAATATTGCATTAATGTTATATATAATTGAAATGTATATAAGTATAATGTTACTAGCATTTTCTTTGATTATATGCAATGTCGTTGGTAATGTTCCTGATCCTGGTAAACCTGGTCATTTCGCTAGTGATCCCATTTGAATGAGCGCATTAACAAAATAACGAGACACTAAAGCTATCAGAAATTAACGGATATAAAAAACCCAAAATAAAAAACCCACAGAAATAAAACCAACAAATTAAAAACCAACTGGTAATAAATCCACAAATTAAAAATCCACATTTAAAAAAGCCCACACTTTTAAAATATATTATGCCTTATTAAGCTCAATTTACCTAGAAATTTGTTAGCAATAGCGGAAAATATGATTTTAAAAATAACAGCTAAATAGTATATTTAAAAATTAATATTTTGTTACAAAATTTTTATACAAATCTGCTATGAGTTTTATTAGTGGTGTAAGGTTAAAATAATAATAATAATAATGAAATAAATAATTACAATAATATTTGTCAACAATAATTGATGATATATTAGTTTCAAATAATTGTTTGCATTGAAATTACTTGAGAACTGAGGTATGGCCATACTACTATTAGTAT